AGGGAACTCCCCCCCCCCCCCCCCACCACCAATATTTTATCTTTAATAAATGCATACTTTTCCTGATGTTTTAAAAGTGTTTTTCCAACATGTATTTATTTATTTGCATGGAGTAAAAGTATCTCAAGTGTTTTTCCAATCAATATTTACTTCTATTGAATAAACATCTCAAGTTCTTTTTTAAACAAATATTTATTTATTTATTTAATCAGAGAGGTGTCTCAAATGTTTTTCCCCTTCTAAGCAGCATTTATTTATTTATGGTGGAATTATATTTTTGTCCACACAATATTTAATTTAATTTGATATTGAATAATTTTTACTTTTTAATTAATACATGGAATAGACATGGTTTAGTAGTGTTTTTCTAACCAGTATTTATATATAAATCAATTAATTTTCATTCTTTAATAAATAGAACAGAAATGTTTTCACCCAAACTTTACTTATTTATTTATTTATTTACATGGAGTATCCCAAGTGTTTTCCCAACCAATATTTATTATTATTTAATGCATGGAATAAACATATCTCAAAACAAAAACTTTTATCTTAAAACAAATATTTATTTATTTGTTTTTAATAATCAGAGATGTCACAAATGTTTTCCCCCCTCTAATCAGCATTTTTATTTCATTATTTACTTATTTGTTTGTTTGTTTTGTTGGTCTCTTTCTTATTTTCTTTCACAAGTGATTTGAAGTGTTATCTCAAGAGTGTTTTTCTCTCTGGGCTGCCAGCACTTGGGAATTTTGGACCTGGCCATTATAATTTTCCCAGTGACTTTAAAGAGGAGATTTATGACATTTAAACAGCTCTTTAAGTTGGGCTGACATAGGAAGTGGTTTCTGAATGTGATCCCTGATATGACTTTTTTTCCCTCTCTCTATTTCTGGTAAGTCCCCATCATCAAGGTGCCGCCGCATAATCTGGTAAATGCAACGGGCAGCAGTATAGCATTTCTCTGTGAAGTGTTTGCATTTCCCATGGCGCTAGTGGAATGGAGGAAAGATGGAAAAGAGGTAATTTTACCTGGTGATGATCCCCACATATCTGTCCAGGTAAAGTACTTCCAAACAGATACTCTGTAAAGTGATATACCGTATCACCTTGATTAGGGCCTCACGGATGTGGATGAGTTTGTTTCTTCATCAGAACTGATTTGGAGAAATTTAGCATCACATCACTTGCACATTAAGTTGGGCTGACATAGGAAGTGGTTTCTGAATGTGATCCCTGATATGACTTTTTTTCCCTCTCTCTATTTCTGGTAAGTCCCCATCATCAAGGTGCCGCCGCATAATCTGGTAAATGCAACGGGCAGCAGTATAGCATTTCTCTGTGAAGTGTTTGCATTTCCCATGGCGCTAGTGGAATGGAGGAAAGATGGAAAAGAGGTAATTTTACCTGGTGATGATCCCCACATATCTGTCCAGGTAAAGTACTTCCAAACAGATAATCTGTAAAGTGATATACCGTATCACCTTGATTAGGGCCTCACGGATGTAGATGAGTTTGTTTCTTCATCAGAACTGATTTGGAGAAATTTAGCATCACATCACTTGTACATCAATGGATCCTTTTCTGTGAATGGGTGCCGTCAGAATGAGAGTCCAAACAGCTGATAAAAACATCACAGTAATCAACAAATAACCCACATGACTCCAGTCCATCAATTAATGTGTTGTAAAGCAAAAAGCTGTGTGTTTGTACGAAACAAAACATTAAGGCATTTAATTATTGTCAAAATACAAGTTCATGATCCATAATAACACTTCTTCTTCCTCTGTTGTCCTCCCACATCAAAATCCACTGACATATTTGTTTAGAACTGTTTTGAATTTAGTTTGTTGGATTTTATTTGTTTTGCATATTTCTCTCCTGATTTAGACAAGACGAGTTTTTCACAGGAGAAAGCAATATTATGGATAGAGGACTCATGTTTAGCTGGAAGCAATAATTTGAAATTAAAAACGTCTTGATGGATTTTTTTTATTACAAACATGCAGTTTATAAGATCTTAACTGACGGACTGGAGTCATGTCGATTACTTGTGGATTATTGTGTTGCTTTTTTATCAGCTGTTTCATTCTGACGGCACCCATTCACTGTAGGGGATCCATTGTTGAGTGATATAATGCTATTTTTTCCAAATCTGTTGTGATGAAGAAACAAACTAATCTTCATCTTGGATGCCCTGAGAGTGAGTACATTTTCATTTTTGCTTATTTTGGCTAATGGTACCGTGTTGAAATCCATTACACTGAATTACACAGATTTTTCCACAAAGTAAGTGCAGAAACTGTGAATAAAGTCAGCAGATTTTATGGGAATATTCATGTCTAATGATTTACTGCAGGTGTTTATGACTTCAAGATTTAGGACATTTCCAACGTTCCTGGTTAAATCCATTAATGAGCTTGTCGTCAAGAACTACAAAAGTTATATATGGATCTTGTTGTTTAGTAGATAGGAAAAAGTATGTCAGGATCCACCTCAGCCTTTCCATTTCTTCATTTTCCCTGTAGTCACGAGGTGGCCCTCAGAAATATGAACTTTCCAGTTGGCTGCAGATTGAAGAGGCCAGTCAGATGGATTCTGGCACATACAGGTGCATCGCTCGAAATGAGCTTGGCCACGTCTCAGCCACAGCAATTTTAGAAGCCCTGCCACCAGGTAAAAGTTATACCCTGAGCTAATGGCCTACAGTAATTTTCCATTAGTGTTATGTAGAGTATTATCTGTTTTATAATCTTTTTTTTTTTTTTTACCCAGATGAGATGTCTACCTATTTGGAACAAAACTTGAATGAAATGATGAGTTATGACCAATCGCAGGACTATGACAGGGATTATTACTAAACTTCAGATCCCAACACCCTCAAGAAGAAAAACACTGTCTTTTTACTTATAGCCATTCAATTTGAGACATGGCAAGAAGACACTCAAGCAACGACTGTAAAAAAAAAATAGTAAGCCTGTAAAAAAACATCACCCTCCAGAGCTTTTTCTACATCTGGATAATCAAACACGGAGACGTCGAGGAAGATGCTTAAATAAATTCCCAATGGCACAGGCCTCTAAAATGGATGAAAAACACACAATGAGAGAGTGGAGTAGTTTGGAAGCTGCTAGAAGCTCTGAAATTCAGTACAGAGAGTAGCTACTGGAGCTGAATGTCTCTTTTGTTTCATCAATGCTCTTCTTCAGAGTGACAAGTTGAATAACAAAACATGAAGAACTGTGAAATCTGAATGTGAGCTGCACGATCATGAAAAATATATTATTTTTTGATGATTTCATATTATAATTGCAGTTCTAAACCTTACTTATATATATGTTATAAATATAAGTTTTTGAATATACTGAAATGGAATGCTATAATTGTCCCTTTCACAAATAGTTAATTGCAGAAGCTGTAATTGTATTTATAAAGTATAACATTTATACAAAATCTCAATAAAGAACAGTACTAGTTACACTGTCCGTTTAAAAAAAATAAAAAAATAAAAATAGTTCCAAACAAAGCCACAGAAAAAGTATTGTTGTGCATTTCCAAACAACATTGGCTTTCCTGAATGAATCAGTGATTTTTTTAAATTTGTTGAATGAATGACTCATTCAATGACTCATTGAATATGCATACGTCCCTATAGTAGGTGAAAAACAGTATGTGAGTAATATGTCCGTATTCATAGTATCCATTCACACTTGGGGTTTATGTATGGGGGAAGTCGTGGCCTAATGGTTAGAGAGTCGGACTCGTAACCAAAAGGAATTGTAGGTGGGGGGAGTGAATGTACAGCGCTCTCTTCCATCTTCAATACCACGATTGAGGTGCCCTTGAACAAGGCACCGAACCCCCAACTGCTCCCTGCGCCCAATGGCTGCCCACTGCCCTGTGTGTGTTCACTGCTGTGTGTGCACTTAGGATGGGTTAAACGCAGAGCACTAATTCCTAGTATGGGTAACCATACCTGGCCACATGGCACGTCACTTTCACTTTTCTATCCCATGAGGCCATGGGAGAGGATTTTTGAATGGATTTTTGAACTGATGCTGGTAGGTCACATGACAATAACAACATGACGAATGTGGTACATCCAGATGACATTCATACTACACACATTCTTGCTATAGAATTTTTTAACAGTCACAAAGTAATTCAAAAGGAGTATGCAAATTCATATGCAGCCATAAGTTTCATTCGTGAATGAATCAGTTCAAGAGCATAACGATGTAAGACAGAGTCACTGAAAACTCCCTATCACTAAAATGCAGTCTTATCTTCTCTGAAAGGCCATTGTTGTTTGAGAACTTGCTGCTGTCTAATATGTGCTTGACATTTGTGCAAACTCAGTTCTTCACAATCCATCCGTTTCTACTCAAAGCAGAATGTGTATCAGCCGCTGAGTTTATGCATGTTTCCACATGTGGCATCCCTCTTTTACCAGCCTTTCCTTTGAGTGTGTGTGTCAGATCTGGGTGAGGCAGTTGAGCACACAGCTGGCTTTAATATATCTTTATGATCTCCTGTCTTAGGACACACAAACAGGGATCCTATTCTTTGGTACATGTGCATACAGGCTGGACTTTTTTTGATGAAAATACAACAAACACCATCAGGCTACTTATTGATATACAGTAAAAATATCTTAACCCTCTAATTTCACCTTTTAGTGGATCAGAGACCTGTATTTAACAGAACGGCCGTGGATAACAGCTTTTTAACCTCATTCTCTCTTCTGCCCTCTCATGATGTTCTCTGGTGGCTTTAACTCTGCATGTCATTTTAGGTTACCTTTTTGATGCTACATTATTTAAAATGTGTAAAAGATTCAAATTTTGACACTGGGTTGTTTCAAACCTCTAATCGGAGGATTGGAGAACTTTTGATGGTATTTTAGGCCTACATATAAATGTACTGTACTGTACAGTAGTTCTACTGGAAAACTTACTAATGTAGAGTTATACACCAAAACAGTGTGCATAACAAACCATATGTAACAACATGTGGTTTTAGGGTCCATTTGCATGACTTTCACCAAGCAGTCAACTGTTAAAGCAATTAGCCTGCAGTAAGGTCTAAATCGTTTCAGACTGAGAGCACCCTGGGACAGAGCCGTTTCCTCTTGCCTTAAACAACCAAACACTCTGAAAACTCAAAACACCTCTACTAGACGTGCTTAGGTTTTTGACTTTATAGGTAGGATATACTGTATCATAGAGGATCTCCATGGGCCCCATTGTCACTCACTTTCTTGTTTACTCACTCTCAGGCCATCCAAGATTTAAATTTAAATGCCTTAATGATGCATTTGCTTATTACAAACACACAGATTTTCACTTCACAAGATGTTAACCGATTGAGTCGTGTGGATTACTTGTGGATCATTGTGATGTTTTTATCAGCTGTTTGGACTCTCATTCTGACGGCACCCATTCACTGCACATGATTAATCGATTAGCAAGTGATGTAACGTTAAAGTTCTCTAAATCTGTTATGATTAAGAAACAAACTCATCTACATCTTTGATGGCCTGAGGACGAGTACATTTTCAACAACTGTTCCATTTTGGGTAAACTATTCCTTTCAGTTTGTATGTCCTGATGCTTTGTGATTTTTGTCGGAATGACAGTTCCAAGACAACAATCTATAGTTTCCAGTAGTTCGAGAGAGCTGTTGGTTTCTGTTTCATTGCCACCAGTTATTTTTCTTTCCCCCAAATTCTATGGAAAACTGTAGAAATATTCAGGGGATCGTGTGAACTTCCAGAGCCAGCAGCGAGGGGCTTCCCTTCTCTACCCAAGAATCCACTAATATCCTGTGTCATGAAAAGACATTACTGGCACAGAGATGGAGGCTTGAAAAAAGGCTTGAAATTCAAACAAATAGCTCTAGGAAATGCAGTAGACAACCAAAAAGACATGCAGATGAATTCATTTAGCTTACCAGATTTAGTTATTGCTGGTTGGGAAAGAAGAAAAGAACGAAGAACAAAAATAACAAAATGACCATTGTTCATTCTTCATCAAGCATAGTCACCACAGGCACTCAAACCCCCCTGCAGCATTCATTGCACGGCTAATGCTAAACCATGATAGCCACTTAAAAAAGGCCTCTCCGCTCCCCAAAAGAGCTGCCTCTGTCTGATCTAAATAAAGAAAAGCAGTTCCAGACTCTTAAAGTCATTTCCATGCTTTTGTTTTCCTTCCAGTTTTGTGGAAAATGAGATCCATGTGCTGTGTGAAAGATCATCAGTCTTGTGAGTGGATTTATTGTAATCAATAAAGTGAGCGTGGAAGACAACAGGAAGAGTGCATGGTCATGACTGAGGAAGAATAACAGACAAATGAGCAACAGTAAAACTAAAATCCTTTATTTTTCTGCCTTGTTTGCCAGTTGTTTATTATTTTCATTGTACTCTTTTACAATTGAATCATCTTATTGCTCTTAGTTAAGTGACACTTTTCAGAAATGTGTGATGATATACGCTGTCAAACATATTTATGTGTCACAGAGAGCGATCTTTCATGAAGTGTGCAGTACTGCTTTGAGGCCCTTGAGGGCAGTGAGAAGATACTACTTAGAAGCATGTAGTCTTTTTTATTGCTGTTCATATTTTTGATTTGAGGTATAAACGAACCCTTAAGAATTAAACCTCGACATAGATTGCATCCCGCACTGTTTATAAAACAGGCAAAAATGACACCTCAAGTTATGGAGCGTGGTGAGCAGAGGTGAACTGTTACTTAGAGTGATACAGTATATGGCTTATTTTTGCCATTGAATGATAAGCGAGTTAAACTTGCATTAACGAAGAGATTTGAATATTATAGAGACTAAGGATAATTACAATTGGACCAGTAAGCAACCACCACAAAAACCTAATAACTATATATTAATGTTTTTAAAATCCCTTACGAAAAAGAAGTTTATTCAAGTGTGCTATTAGTATACTTCTTTCAAACTAAAAATAGGAAAGTATACTTTTAGTCTACTTTTTATGTACGTCTCAGAAATGGGCTTTATGTACTTCTCAGAGATATACTTAAAATTACATTTAAGTATACTTGACTTATACTTAGAAAAAGTCTAAATATATTTTAACTATAATTGTGCTCCTAGAATCCGTGTTTTCATTATTATACTGTAGGGTGCTCTAGTACACATCTTCTGTACAGAATTTCCAAAGAACACAAGTGAAGAAGAAACCGAAACAACGATGCTTCCACATGTATTCTAACACGATCATCAGACATAAAACAGTATCAAAACTGTGTAACATTATGGAATAAAATGTCGACCAACGAAGAGGTAATAATAACTGTTAAGCTTTGGGGTGTTGATCGACTTTATCTACGTTTTGATTATCATTCTGAATCCAATTCATAGTCTTTTTTCAGCTTTTTGTTCAAAATGTTGTTTATTTTTTTATTTATTTTTTTTGATGTTTTATGTAACAAAATATATACAAATTAATACCTAAATATGGACATAGTAGTATACTTAAAGTATGATGTAAAGTTCACTTAAAGAAAACTTACGGGTATACTTGCAGTATAAAACTACTAAACTAGTAGTTTACTAAGACTATACTTCAAAGTGTACTAAAATGCTACTACAAGTATTTAATTAGTAAACTATCAGTATACCTATAAGTTCACTTTTAGTATAGTTGCAGTACAAACTAAACATTTTGATGTAAACTAGTTGTGTACTCAAAGTTTACTACTGTTATACTTAAAGCATACTTAAAAGTATACTTTTATATACTAGAAAGTGGGCCAATTTAGTCCCAAGGAGTATTGAAATAGTACACTTACAAGTATACTACTAGTACACTGATATTTGTATACTTACTACATAAAGTATACTTAAAATATACTTGAACTTACTTAAGTATACTTACTAAAATAAACTTGAAGTATACTACTTTTTGGTAAGGGATCACTTCATAAAACACTATAACGACGCCCTGGAAAACCCACAACATTGTATCATCGTGGAGGCAAATTTTTGCACAGGCGTGATTCTGATTTTCTTCAGAAAATATTTGGGACAGATTTCTGTTTGATTCTGGTCAACTAAATGCAGACTTCCTTTGAAAAAAGGGGTTTGTTTGTAGGTCTGACAGCTGTGTTGCATTAATTCTGCAATCCAAAAGGCAGAGGCCTAATATAGAACTGGCATTGGGTCATTATTACATGATGATTAAATACATTTATTTAAATACATTTTATATCACAGGCCTTTACAAATTGTATACATATATTGTATATACACAGTATGTATTTCTTCTTATATTGCTTTAAAGCAGCTTTACAGAAACTCATCACAGGAGAGCATTGTCCTTTGGCACACATACATTACAATAAATATACACATGGCAAACATGATCTAGTTGCACAGTAAGACTATTACTGGTATTGTGTTCATTAAATTATTTAATATGCAAGACAATGCTTAACTTGTGTAGACAATGAATGATTAATTAATAGCCTTTGTCTATCTTAAAACAGCTGGAGAGGTGCAGGCAATGGTCAGTAAATCACCCCTGGTTGTCTGGATGGTAAGTTGGTTTGGGTGTGCGTGTGTGATGGAAACTTGACACACCATAGAGCAGGAAGTTTGCAGTTGACCACAGACCCTGAAAAATAAGATTTTAAAATAGCTCTTATGGGACAAATATAAATCAGTGACGTTACTTACATTACCTTCTTGTTTAATATATATATAAAAAAAGATTAACGATTTACTTCCTAAATTCTCAACAAAATAATATGAGACGATAATATGGAAATGCTCAGGCCTCATGTAATGATGCGAAAAATGTACAATTAATATCATTTGCCTAATTTCCTGGGTTTAAACAGTTTGTGATGTTTTTTAATTTAAAGTACAATGCTGTTTTCTTTCATTTGGGTGCAAAATAACATGAGGAAACTCATGATCTTGAGTAATCATTGTGGCTTTGGCTCTTACAGATGCTCTTGCACAGCTCTGCAAAGAAGTGTAAACTCTTTCAGGCTATACAGGAAGTAGATTTGGCGGAACTTGGAGATGCTGTTTGCGTCACAAGCAAGTTTAGCAGAAGACGTATGATACATTAGATGAGACAGTCTTAAGGAGCTGGGTCGGAGACAAGACCGATAGAAATGGAGGAGGATATTAGAAAGAAGGGGATGCTGTATTTACAACAGCAGCGCTTTGGGAAGGTAAGACAGAACGTGCTTTACTCCCCAGGGGGCTTATATTAAAGAACAATCGTGTTCTTTTATGGTAATGGTCTGGAACTACTGTCATAGAACAAAATGAAGGCTGTACTAAAAAGACTCATTTGGCCTGACCGTAGGTTGTAGCTGCTTTCATAAATTACGGCAAAATAGTGAAATCCATGAATATTGTAAAAAACACTTTTGATGGATGTTTTTTTTTTTTAAATCTCAAATAATTGCAAAATACTACTGGACAGTTGGCCCTTCTTTAGTTACTGATCACTTCAGTTGTTTCTCTTTAATGTGCACCGTAAAAAAACTAAACCAAAAAAACTAAAATTCACCATAAATAAACGGACAACTTCACCATAAAAAAAAATATGTAGCAGCATTTTAACTTAGCATTTTAGTTAATTTCATTAACTGGTATAATAACAGCCAACTGAAGTATTAAAATCAGTTATGAACCTTCATAATACACTGACAACCACCGAAAAACACAGGTGGTCATGAAAAAAGCCACATGTACAGTAGAATCATAGCTCATTACAATGATCTTTCCCAAAAGATGAAGTATATTATAATATTGAAGGTACACACAGTGTCATGCACACAAATATAAAACTCCATCATGTTAACATTAAAATCATAATTCAATAGCTTATCTTTAACTATAATTAACAGGTTTTTACCGTAGTATTTTTACAGTCTTTTGCCATTAATAGTACGACATTTTTACAGTGTGGGGAACTTAATTTACTTAACCTACTCGCATTAAAATATAAAATACTGATAGCGATCACATATTAAAGGTTCATGTTTTTATAAGGGTGTAAAAGTATGTGTTTTTATGCATGTTTGTGCGACCGAAATTATATTTGAACTCACAAGTGAATGAAAAAGATAAATATCATTGGGAAAAAAGCCTTCTGCATTAAAAAATAGTGTGCAGCTTGCTGGACTTATGCATTTCAATTAGTGACCTTCACTTTTCCTAATTTTAACCACATGTTTGTCACCAAATACTCCATATCTATTATGAGCTATTACAATTAGAGAGAAATTCATGAATCATATTAAGCTCATTGGCAGTGTCATGAACAACTTCCTGAACTGTGAACGTGATCCACTTTAATTTGTCCATATTCTCATTTAAAACCATTTTCACTTCATTTTGATTGATGCCGCTGATAATATTGTTGGTTCCGCCATATGGGACTGCAGTAGAGGAATAGGCTGTTGGCATAATTTAGAGGACTTATGGGCTGCTGGAGTCCATTAAAGTGGGTTAATGTTAGCAATAGGATCAGGACTGTCTCTTTAGGAAACCACAAGGAGTGTGTTGCATCTGCAATAGATTATGTGCTGTTTGAGGCCATGAATTTATCTGAAATGGTAGGTAATGTCCGTACCACCGAGATTCTTTAAACTCTTTGTCTTATTACGGGTATTTCCTGACTGAGGAATCTCACACTTTAAATGCTATAAATTGATGCTCACATGATCCAACCATCCTTAGGCACTTCAGCCAAGTTCTCATTATCTTAATTTGCATTCTACATGTGTTTCTTATTGACGTGTATACATTTTCCCATTGGACAGTTTAGTGACTTTTAGTTTAAAAATCATTATGGGAAGATGTACTCTGTTTTTTTTTTACATTAACCACTTCCCATTTTAAGGTCAAAGACAAGTGCAAAAGTGTTGGTAAAATGCAAAATTGTTGGTAATATCGCTGACATTATGAAAACTTTGTTTTACTATGGGGAAGAGTAGGGTAAAGTTTGTCGTTGGGTAAGATATCTCACCCCTTTAATCTAGCTTTTTGTCAATTAACCAGAAGGGATCATCATATGTGATTTATAGATGCATGTGAGTAGTTTAAGAAACTGTTTTTGCATGTCAAAGTAAATTTTGTACATACCAGAAGGAAAATGTTTTAAAAATATACATGATAATGTGAATATTGTGCATCAAGATGAGATTATAAAACAGGATTGTGAATGAGTAATTAGTTTTTTGGGGGAAAACAAGTTTGAAATGTAAATCATATATAACCCAGTGATTCAGCCTACCCATCAATATATGTGAGCCTGGACCACAAAACCAGTCATAAGGGTAAATTTTTTTTCAGAATAAATAAGCTTTCCATTGATGTATGGTTTGTTAGGACAGGACAATATTTGGCTGAGATACAACTATTTGAAAATCTGGAATCTGAGGGTACTAATTTAGAGGAGGAAATTTACAAAATATCTTCATGGAACATGATCTTTACTTAATATCCTAATGATTTTTGGCATAAAAGAAAAATCTATCATTTTGACGCATACAATGTATTTTTGGCTATTGCTACAAATATACCCCAGCGACTTAAGACTGGTTTTGTGGTCCAGGGTCACATATGAGTCAGGTTTTGTCCCAAGATTATATTTTATGGCTCTAATATGTTTTACAGATGTTAGGTGCTTTCTTTTAATGTTGTTTTATATTAGACATCCTGAAATATAATAAGGTCCATTAGTTTTATATCTCATTTTTGTGCATGCCTATAGAGGACAACGCAAATAAAAAAGTGTGACAGTTTACTAGGGCTGGGTAAAAAAATATCGATATCTCGATTATGATCGATTCTCATTCTTACGAAACGATATCGATTCTTAAATCCCATGAATCAATTAGTCTAGCCTGTTTTCAGTTAATGAATGGAACATTGAAGGGCATTTCCCATCCAATCGCAATAAGCATTGTGCTTTGGTACTTTTAATATGAAACAAAGTCTCACCCTGCATCTCAATGTTCATACTATCCATCCTAAATAGTATGTGAGATTAGAATAAGTGTGTCCCAAAGCGTAGTATGTTGAAAAGAGTATGCCAAAAGTCCCCGGATGGTCTACTATTTCAGGTCGATTTTTGAAGTGTAATATTTCATCTGCAACAGCAATGTGAACTTTTATAAACATCCATTTGGTCGTTAACTTTTAAATGCATCATTATGCATAAAATATGAGCAGAGTTCTCCACATGAAAAACCCGCGATTGGCAGATCAACGAGCTACTTCTTTTCTCTCCAGTAGGCTAGGAAGTTAAATGAAATGAAATGTGGAGCATGTTAACTGTGACAAGATGATTGACAGGCCAGTTTACAGTTTACAGTGCGTGTAACAGGTGCGACAGAGCAGTCTTTAAAGACGCAGTTGTGTGACGTGTCCCAAAGCTTGCCTACTTTTCTACTACACACTCAAAAGTGTGTACTTTTTCTTCACCAAAAGAGTACATACTTTAAGGGCATAGTATAAGTAGGCACACTGAGATGCAGCATCAGATTCCAAAGTCTCAAACAATAAATGCCGTTTTGGCGCTATTTAATGTGGAGTGATGCTGTAGTGCAACGCGCCTCGGTTCAATAATAGCGGCAGCGCAAGGCGCACGTGAATTGATCATCTCCTCCACACTAATACCAGTTTCAGCACAAAATAAACATGACTAAACATCCGAAGGTAAGTTAACAGAAAGAGTACAACTTTACAATCCACCATACCCTGTCTCATGTAATCGTTTAATCAGTGTTTCAGCCGCGCAAAGACGTCAATATAGCGGCTTGTAAACAATGTCACATAAGGTCACGTTTACCTCAGAAAAACATATTCGGTGACCATAAACTCATTAGTCAGCTAGAAAAATAAATTGTAGAGAGGGGCATTTTGCTAAATATATGCACCACGTAATATATTCATTATAACTTTTACTGTTCTTCAATGTTTAATTTATATTTTTTTATGACAGCCACCATTTAAATGTTTATATTTAAAAAAACGAATTGAAGTAGAAATATTATGTAATTGTAACTTTTATTATAAAAACTTAATTAAGTGTAATGTAAGCAGTTGTATAGCCTAAAAAATCAGTCAGTTTAAACTTCAATATTATAGTAATGCAGTACCAACTGACTCGTGTATATTTTACAGCATTTTTCCCCTTGAGAAAATTTTGCATGTGTACCAGATATATATCCAAAATAATCGATATTGAATCGAATCAAATTGCAAGCTTGTGAATGAGAATCGAATTGAATCGTGAAATTTGTGTCAAAACCCAGCCCTACAGTTTACATCACTTTCAGCAACGTATCTTCTCTCTGTTTCAGAAATGGCGTAAGGTCTGGTCTGTCCTGTACCGAGAGAGCTCCTGCTCCATCTCTCGCCTTGAGTTTTTTGAGTTTAAAGATGGAGCTGGCAACATGCTGGAGAAAGCCAACCGCAAACAGGAAAACAAAAAGGTGAGCAACAAACCGTGGAGCTCAGATTTTCCATGTTTTGCGAACATAACAAATAATTTGTGGCGTATCTGAGGAGAGTGATGTAGATCCTTTATGTGCCACAGTACATGAACAATCAAACTCGGTGGGGGGTCATGCACATGGTTTATGTGTGGGCGGACATGTACAAACAATTTGCAGGAAGTGCACTTAAATTTGTTCCCATTTCTGCTATGAAATATGACAAACAAAAATCCCCTCTTCCACACAAAAGTAGGATTTTCACAAAAAAAGCTATCTTCTGAAATTAATGCATATGGAGAATGATCAGAAAAAAACGTTCATGTATCATACTACCTACACAATTTGCAAATCTGTACATCGTGGAGCATATTTAAATGTTGGTGTAGTTATACTTGTTGGCAAACATTTCAAAACAAATGGGAAAAAAAAATCACTTTTTTAAGGTTTACATTATCTCATTTGTGTGTTTTTTTTTTATTATAGGTGATAAAAATGAATGACTGCATTCGTGTTTCGGAGGCTGATGTTGAAGGCTGTCCACGGGATTGTGGACCTTTTTTGGTGGAGACAATTGAGAAGACATTTATTTTCGCTGCTGAGACTGCTGAACTTGAGGACTGGATACAGAATCTGTGTGAAATCGCCTTTCCGGTATTTAACACTGCTTTTAAATTGTGTGACGGTCTCTTTCCTACGGTGACCGAGAAGTGCAAAACAAATCACAATTCTGAAAACAAAATAACAAATTACAAACGCAAATCTAAAAAACAAAATAACAATTCAGAAAACACAACAACAATTCAGAAAACATTATAACAAGTCAGAAAACACAACGACAAATCAGACAAACCGGAAGAGGTAGGTATAGTATGAGACAGCGCCATTGGTTTGGGATTGCTCAACGCTGACTGGACGACACATCGGTCAATCAACGTGTACAGGAAGAACCAGCTGAAGAACAGCAGAGTTGTGGTAGAAAGTTCGGAGATGGTATTAAAGTAGCTCTTATTGTATGAATTGCCCTTACTATAGAATAAAAAAATACGGGGAGTCTATTTACATTTAGTTAAAAGTGGCTGTAAATCATCAGCTCTAGTGGCGCAGATGGATAAGTGTGTTGTTACGACCGTCTAGGGCCAGTGGCAACATAAATGAAACCGTCTCGGGTTACTTATGTAACCATGGTTCCCTGAGGGGAACGAGACACTGCGTCCTCTAGGGGTCGCTATGGGGAACGCCTCGTCGTGACCCGTGTCTGAAGCCTACATTGAAAAAACACCAACTTGTTTGGCCGGCGACAGCCATGACGTCACTACCGTCGCGACTAGTAC